GGGAATGAACAGAACAGGAAATCATCAAGTGATCCATCCTCTGTTGCCCATTTCCAGCCTCTGAAAAACAGAGGCTAGGGACACCATTTCTGCCCATTCTAATAGCCGTGGCTAATAGCCATGTTGGACCTAACTGCAATGAATTTATCTAGCTTTTTTTTTTTTAGCTCTGTTAGGGTACGTCTGCACAATAGCATTATTTTGAAATAACTAACATTATTCCGAAATAACATAGTCTGTGTCTACACTACGAGCAGTTAATGTTGAGCTGGAGGACTTCTTAGTCTAACTCCTGTATCCCTCATTTTACAAGGAATAAAGGATGTCAAAGGAAGAGTGCTCTTCCTCGGACTTCCTGCTGTATAGACAGTATCAAGAGCCAAAATAAGCTATTTCGAGTTAAGCAATGCAATTAATGTAGCTGAAGTTTCAGAGCTTATTTCTGCGTTAGCCCTGCTGTTAAGACATACCTTTAAAGACCCTCCTGGTCTTCACAACATCCTCTGGCAAGGAGTTCCTCAGGTTGACTATGAGCTATGTGAAGAAAAACTTCCTGTTGTTTGTTGTAAATCTGCTATCTACTGTCATTTGGGGTATGTCTAGACTACATGGCTCCGTCAACAGAGCCATGTAGATGAGTTTAATGCTTCATTTACATCAAAATGGCTGCTGCACTGTGCCTATCAGCTGTTTGGCGGCACAGTGGGGCAGTCTGTATGCGCCATGGTTGACAAGGGAAACCTTTGTCGACAGCTCTGGTAAACCTCATCTGCTATCTACTGTCATTTGGGGTATGTCTAGACTACATGGCTCCGTCAACAGAGCCATGTAGATGAGTTTAATGCTTCATTTACATCAAAATGGCTGCTGCACTGTGCCTATCAGCTGTTTGGCGGCACAGTGGGGCAGTCTGTATGCGCCATGGTTGACAAGGGAAACCTTTGTCGACAGCTCTGGTAAACCTCATTTCATGGGGCATAACAGAGCGCGTCCAGACTGCCCCGCCAAACAGCTCATTGGCACAGCGCGGCGGCCATTTTTATGTAAATGAAGGGCGATTATTTAAATTGCCACTTCCTTTTCCTATGTCTAGTAAACTCATCTACATGGCTCTGTCAACAGAGCCATGTAGTCTAGACATACCCTTGGTGACCTGTAGTTCTTATTTATGGGAACAAGTAAATAACTTTTCCTTGTTCACTTTCTCCACATCAGTCATGATTGCGTAGACCTCTATCACATCTCTTCTTAGTCTCCTCTTTTCTAAGCTGAAAAGTCCCAGGTTTTTAATCTCTTTTCACATGGTGTTGTTCCAAACCCCTAATAATTTTTGTTGCCCTTTTTTCTGAACTTTTTCTAGTGCTAAGATCTCTTTTTTGAGATGAGGCGACCATATCTCTATATAGTATTCAAGATGTGGGCGAACCATGGATTTATGCTGTGGCAATGAGATATTCTTTGTCTTACTCTCTGTCCCTTTTTTAACGATTCCTAACATTCTGTTTGCTGCTGAACATTGAGGCTTTGTCTGCACTGCAGGGTTTTTGTGCAAGAAGCTTTTTGCGGAAGTGATCTTCTGCGAAAACTTCTTACTCAAAAGCGTGTCCACATCTCAAAAGCGCATTGCAAAAGCGCTTGTATGGACCCCCTGCGGAACACCGCTAGTTACCACTCTCCATTCTGAAAACTGGCCATTTATTCATACCCACCGCGTGGATTGTCCCAAAAGATCAAAATCAGCCTCTGCTCTTGCGGCCCCACAATAATAATGAGGGTTTTGCTGGCACCGTCTCTCCATTTCAAATTGATGTGGCTGATCTTTGTCCTTCACTGCAGGCAGCTGGGGATCTCCCTCTCGAGCTGCAGTGTCAAAGTTTACTTGTAGATCTGCCCTTGCTGGCCAGTGAAGTCTGGGGCAGTAGTTGTTGTCTCTGGCAGCCTCTTCTTTGCTTATTTCTAGGAAGTTGCCCCAGATATTCCCTGCCTGCTGGACTCTCTAGAATCATAGACTCCTAGGGCTTAAAGAGACCTCAGGAGCCATTGAATCCATCCCAAAGCAGGACCAAACCCAACTAAATCATCCCAGCCAGGGCTTTGTCATGCTGAGATTTAAAAACCTCTAGGGAGGGAGATTCCACCTCTGCCCTAGGAAACCCATCCCAGCGCTTCCCCGCCCTCCTACTGAAATACATTTTCCTAATATCCAACCTAGACCTCCCCCACTACAACTTGAGACCATTGCTCCTTGTTCTGTCATCTATCACTACTGACAACAGCCTCTCTCCATCCTCTTTGGAACCTCCCTTCAGGTAGTTGAAGGCTGCTATCAAATCTACCCCCCCTCAATTTTCTCTTCTTCAGACCCTATAAGACCAGTTCCCTTACAACCTCCTGATCATTTTCATTACCCTCCGCTGGACTTTCTTCAATTTGTCCATATCCTTTCTGTGACTAGGGGCCCAGTATTCCAGATGTGGCCTTGCCAGTGCTGAATAAAGGGGAATAATCACTTCCCTAGATGTACCGTCAATGCTCCTCCTAATGCACCCTAATATGCCATTAGCCTGTTTGGCTACAAGGGCACACTGTTGACTTATATCCAGCTTCTCATCCACTATCATCCCCAGGTCCTTTTCTGCCAAATTACTGCTTAGCCAGCCAGTCCCCAGCCTGTAGCTGTGCTTGGGATTCTTCCGTTCCAAGTGCTGAACCTTATGAGATTTCTTTTGGCCCAATCCTCCAATTTGTCTAGGTCACTCTGGACCCTATCCTGACTCTCCAGTGTATCAACCTCTCCCCCTAGCTTAGTGTCATCCTCATCTACCACTGAGCTGAGTGTTCCCTAAGACCCTAAACCACCCTGTCTCAGGAGAGGCAGAGAAAAGCAGTGCCCATCTGTTGCCATTTGGGTCTCTCAGCCTGGCATTGCCCACCCTGTGTAGTGCAGCACTGGGAAAACCAGCTGCCCCCCAGCCTCACAGGCTATTGGAACTGAATCTCTGGAAGGAGGGAGTCACAGAATCAGGCCCTCAAAGGCATCTCATGTTCATGCTGCCCATATGCAGCCCCCTCCTGGGTGGGACCCAGAAGATCCCCAGTGGTCCTGGAGGGTGATAGCTAAAGGGGAGACATTTGTTGGAGGGAGAGATACTTGGAACTAAAGTTACAGCCCAAGTGGTGAAACCCCATCTGATGCACCCAGGCTGTGGTGTCAGGCAGAAAATCCCTGGTGTAAAAGTCTTTACTCTTCCTACAGCAGGGATTTGAATCCAGGCACAGGCAGGCTCGGGGGTCTCCATCTCCGGGGTGCTGCCTGCGTCCCCTCCTCTCCCCCGTGCTGCCACCTCTATTAGCGCAGGTGGGGAACCAGGGGAGGCTGCCATGGGCAGAGGCTGCTTTGTCCCTGTCCTCTGGGACCCCTTGTGGACAGGGGCTGCTGCTGCAAAGCAGCCCCTGTCCGTGGAGGCCCGGGCTGGCCCCAGACAGGGGCTGCTCCAGCTAGGTAGACAGCCTGGCTCATTCCAGGCTCGCACCAGGTCCAGGACCTACCCTTGCTGCTGCTCTGCAGTTTAAATGTTCTAAGAGCCGGGCGGGAGGCAGCCTGGCTCTTACTACATTTAAAATGAAGAGCCGCAGCGAGGGCAGGGCCCAGATCCGGCACGAGCTGGGTCTGAACTGGGCTGCCTCCCCTTATCGACTAATCGAGTAGTCAATAAAAATTCTATCAACTACTTGATTAGCCAATTAACCGCATCTCAACATCCCTAGTAAGAGCCAAGAGGTGAACCAGGCTATTCTATGTCTCTCAGCTGGACGGGGCTGTCAGCCAAAATGCAGCTGTGTCCCCCTGCCCATGCCCCGGAGGAAGCACAGCAGGGATTGCGTGTGCAACGTAGGGCCAGGGGCTGAAAGAAGCGGGAGGGAGACATTCTGCTGCTGACCTGAAGGGAAAGCCCTGGCCAGGAAAATGTGCTTCCTGGGGCCCCCAGCAGCTCTCAATATGGGGAGGGTGGTGTCTCCAGCCCAAACGGGGGCCCCTGAGGGGCCCTGCCAAATCTGTGGCTCCCGCCCAAGAGCGGGATGCGCCCAGGTAAGACGTGCAGCGGCTGCTTTGGTGATGGCAGACGTAATTGGAGTCGGGAAGGGAGGGGGAACTTCTCCCCTCGTCTGTGATGGCTTGTGGGCCTGTGAAAATACAAAGGGACCTGAGTCTGATGGGCACAGAGCCCTGCTCACCTGGTTGCAGGCTGTGGGGATCTAAGGCTGCCACAGAAAGGGGGCAGGGATCAGTGCTGTTCCCCCTGCCCTCAGGGAAGCTGAGGGCAGGCCAAAGGGGTCTGCAGGCCCCGACCCCTGAGGGGACGGGGCAGAGACAAGAATGTGGCAATGAGGGAGTTTGAAGCAGCTCCCTAGCCCGATCCCTCTGCAGGTAAGAGCAGAGCAAGGCTGAGAGGTGCTGCACAGGGAGCCAGCCCAGCCCTATTTCTCCCCTTCCCATCGTCCCAGGAGAGTGGGGAACCTCTACGGGGGCAGCCAACGCCCAGAGGTGATGGGGGAGGGGAGCTTCAGCTGTGAGAAGAGGTTGAGAGGGGTTCAGTGGGAGGGGCAACCTGGTACAACCTGGCAGTGCTGGGGGGGGGGCAATTGCCAAGCCCCTGGGCAAGGTTTTTGGGGGGGGGGCTCCATGCTCCTGAAAGGGGCGGGGGCCCCGGCGGGAGGAGTGTGCCTCCGATTTAAGGGGCGGGGGCCCGCCCCTGCCACTGGCGCTGCAAAAGCGGTGGTAGGAGCCCCGGGCCCCTTTGAATCGCTGGGCTCCGGGGCAGTTGTCCCCTCCCCGCCCCCAGGCCTGGTATCCCGCTGTGGTTGCTCTGTAGGGAGGGAAGGACGAGCTGTGGGTGTAGGGAGGGACGTGCTGCAGCTGTGGTGGGAGGGGCAGCACAGAACATGCTCCAGGATTTTGATTTCTGCTTTTCTCTTTCTTTTTTCCCCCCACCCTCCAGTTAAGCCAACAGCAACCATCGAGCCAGACCCCCCCTACCCCCGGGAGGGCGAGGAGCTGCGGCTGCAGTGTGAAGTCCAGGGCAATCCAATGTAAGCACCTTCCTCCCCAGCCCGTCTCTGCCTCCCCTCCTCCCCGAGTTCTCTTCAGCAGGCTGCAGCACGGCTGGGCCCTGCCAGCAGCCAGCCCCAGGGGCGCTGCAGCACATCAGTTCAGTGGGGTGCAGTCAGGCTGCCTCAGCGCCCTGCAGGGGAAGCTCCCTTGGAAATGGAAGCTGCTGTAACAAGTTCCCAGCTGGGCTGTCCCGTGCAGCCAGTGCCTGCTGCATTGGTGATGCCGGCTCCAATGCGTGCTCCTCGGGGGAGCGCCCCTTAATAATCCCCCCTCCTCTCAGCCCCCAGGAGTTCCTGTGGATGAAGGAAGGTAGCGACATGCTCCTGCAGCCAAACACCAACCGCATCCTCACTCTCCCCTTCCTCAACAAGAGCGACAGTGGCACCTACATCTGCAGGGCCACCAACACCATGGGCAGCGTCGTTGTGAAGTACAACCTGGACATCAATGGTAAGCACGAGGCACCAGCCTCCTCCCCTGCCAGGGACACGCACACGACCTCTCCTTGCACTCAGCTCCTCCCAGCTTCTGCGCTACCCTGCGCCAGCTGCCGGGTCACCCCCTGAGGTGCGCCCCTGTGTTTGTGGAGCATCACTGGCGGGGAGCTGCCGTTGTTTTGGCAATGCCCCCTGCTGGGGAGCTCTGGGTGTGTTGAGAACATCCCCCGCCAGGGAGCAATGGGTGCGTTGGGAATGTCTACTTTTGGGGCGCTCCAGGTGTGTTGGGAACGTCCCATGCTGGGGAGCTCCAGGTGTGTTGGGAAAGTCCCCTGCTGGGGAGCTATGGGTATGTTGAGAACGTCCCATGCTGGGGAGCTATGGGTGTGTTGGGAATGTCCCATGCTGGGGAGCTCCGGGTGTGTTGGGAAAGTCCCCTGCTGGGGAGCTATGGGTATGTTGAGAACGTCCCATGCTGGGGAGCTATGGGTGTGTTGGGAATGTCCCATGCTGGGGAGCTCCGGGTGTGTTGGGAAAGTCCCCTGCTGGGGAGCTATGGGTATGTTGAGAACGTCCCATGCTGGGGAGCTATGGGTGTGTTGGGAACGTCCCATGCTGGGGAGCTCCAGGTGTGTTGGGAACATCCCCTGCCAAGGTAGGTGCTCTGTGGGGGTGCACTGTGTCTCAGGGAGCAGGCCCTGCCCTGCAGGAAACCAGCCAGCTGCGGATGCTGAGTCTCAGGGGGTATGTCTACACTACAAAGTTAATTCGAACTAACGGACGTTAGTTCGAATTAACTTTGATAGGCGCTACACAGGCAAACCACTAGTTCGAACTTAATTCGAACTAGCAGAGCGCTTAGTTCGAACTAGGTAAACCTCATTCTATGAGGACTAGGCCTAGTTCGAACTTACTAGTTCGAATTAAGGGGTGTGTAGCCCCTTAATTCGAACTAGTGGGAGGCTAGCCCTCCCCAGCTTTCCCTGGTGGCCACTCTGGCCAACACCAGGGAAATTCGTCTGCCCCCCTCCTGGCCCCGGACACCTTAAAGGGGCATGGGCTGGCTACGGTGCCCGTGCCAGGTGCAAGCCTGCCAGCACCCAGCCAGCAGACCCTGCACCTGGGCTGGATCCAAACTAGCTGTACGCCTCGTTGGTGTACAGCTAGTTTGCATTAGAAGCCTAATCCGAACTAGCTAGTCCGTGCCGCGTGTAGCCGCGCGGCACGGGGTCCGAGCTAGCCGGCATTTAAAAAAGGCGCCGGCCGGCTTTATGCAAATGAAGCCCAGGAAATTCAAATCCCGGGCTTCATTTGCAACTCCGTATGACTACATTACCCCCCTTAGTTCGAACTAGGGGGGTAGTGTAGACATACCCTTGGAGAGCACCCCCAGCACTGGCCCTGCAGGTCCTCTGGCTGTCTCCATCCAGTCCCACATGACAGACCCCCCCAGCCAGACTCTGTAGGGTTTCAGGATTCTCTCCCCACTGAAATAACAGCCCACTGCCCTGATCTGCACCCGTGTGGGATCCTGAGCTGAGTCTGCCCTCCCTCCTGGCTCTGAACACCCTGCACGTGTCCACAGGCTGAGCTCCCTGGTGTCCCGCCCTCCCCGCCCAACCAGATGGGCCTGGCCAAGGTGCCTGGATTTGGCCAGTTTAGGTCCAGAGGTTCAAAAACAGCCTGACTCCTTCCAGCCCCATCTGAGAACAAAGGAGGCTCCCCCTCCCCCCAGGGCTGTGGCTGAGTGCTTGTGAAACTCCAGCCCTGTCTCTCATTCCCGATGGAGTCTCCCCGGCCCCAGATCGTTTCTTGGAGCTGGGCAGAACTGATCCATCTCCCTGGCCCAGCCGCCGCCCCAACGGGCGTGATTCCTCTGCTCCTGCCCTAGTGCATTAGCAGCCCACGGGCTGACTGGGACTCTCTTCCCGGGTACGTGTGTATCCAAGGCATTGCTGCTGCTTTTCCCTGCCTCTGTGGCACGACTCAGTGTTGCTCTGGACAGGCAACAGGGCCGGGTGCCGTTCAGGGCTCTGATTCTGATCACTCCGATTCCCCCTGCTGGTATTTGCTGCCAGCGGGGGTCATTGGTGAATGTCACAGCAGTGTGCCCCCGTCCCAGGCCAGCAGGGCCTGGATTTCCAGAGCTCTCTGGGGCCCCGGTTTGAAAATGCTTGCTACAGAGCCGCTCCCACCGTGACACTCAATGCCGGCTTCTCAGGAGCGGAGCACCCAGCATGGGTGCAGCACGTTTAGCTCCTTAGAAAAGTGGCCCCAATTCCCTGTACTGACAGAGCACTTTCTGTGAATTCATCTGTCCGTCCGTCCGTCCCTCCATCCCTGTGGTTCCCAGCCCAGTTCTCCCCCACGGGCCATTCTTGTGCATGGCTGGGTTATTCTGGACAGTTCTTCGTTAGCCAGTTTTCAGCAACTCCTGAGTCAGTCGGAGTGAATGCCGTGGCAGAGGCTCCGTGTGACAGGAACCCAAACCCCAGGCACGTGGCAGCTCCACGACCCTCTTCAGTTCTGCTGCCTGCTTTGGAATTCCGGCCAAAAAGCAAAATCAGGTTTTTCTCTTCGTTGTTCCCTGTCACCTCCTTGTGCTGTTTATTGCTCATCGCCTTGGCGTAGGCAACAGGCACAAATAGCCAATTA